AAGCCCTGAAAATTCTCAAGTAAGGAGACTTTGCTTAATCTAGTGTTTCTCAAACTTATTTGGACACTCAATATTTTTTTCTTTCTTTTAAATAATTCCCACAGTATTTTGGGAAGCTCTGAGATCAAGTTTGGTGTCTTCCATACCTTACATGTGTCCTTGGACAGATCTCATTAACTTAATTTTTCTTAATATAAAATGGCCATGAAAATATGACTTACTTGCGGGGGTTATTAGTGGGATCAAACTCGATGTGTGTGACAGCTCTTTGCAGATACAGAGTTCTATTCAAATTCAGACAATTTTTAAAAGTTAGTGGGAAATGTTTCATACTATAAAAGTGTTTTCATTTTACAAAGTTATTCATTTAAAGACTAATTTATATAATACATTTATTGTGGCATTTAAAGTGAATCTACTGACCCAGGCCGGGTAGCTCAGCTGGTTACAGTGTCATCTGGATATCCCAAGGCTGCAGGTTCGATCCCTGGTCAGGGCACATGCAAAAAGCAACCAATGGCCAACTGATGAATGCATAAATAAGTGGACCAACAAGTCAAAGTTTCTCTCTCTTTCCTCTCTCTCTCTCTCTCCCCCCCCCCTTCCTCTCTCTAAAATAAATCAATAAAGAAAAGTAAAATGAATCTACAAAGAAAATGTTCTTTCAATTTTTCAAGAACTTGTACATTGAGGAAATGTATACTTTTAATGTTAAGATACTTTATTCTAATTTACTTTGAGATAGTTAGTAAAAGCTATCCTTTGCAATACATCACCCTTCACCACCTCCATTTCAGGTTTCAAGGACTTTTTGTCTCTTCTCAGTACACACACTTCCAAAAGTAACTGCAATAAAACCTGCTGTTCTGAACGATTGTCTTCACTTCCCAATTGGCATGTATAATTATAAGGAGAATGAAATTATTTCTAAAAGAGAAAAAATACCTATTAAGTATTAGGTGTCTAGATGATACACCGAAGTTCCACTAAACGTTCATTGTTCCTAAATGGCAGCATGGCTAAGCTGAGTTATAAAACCTATGCAAAAACCTAGGCCAAAAATATTCCATGAAGAAACAATATGTGCAAAGGTCCTGAGATGGAAATGATCTTGGTGGATTTAAGTAGAGAACACTTTATGCCTCTCTGAGAGGAGAAAGGCAAAAAGGGAATGAAGCTGGAGTCAGAGGAGTGATGGGCAGGGCCCCAATTATGTAGAGGCTCAAAGGGTTTTGGTGAAAGGGAAATGGTCAGCACGGGCTACACAGAATTTCCCTTAGGCTCTAGGGGCTCTCTGCCTTCACCAGGGAGGAGAGTGTGGGTGGGAAAGGGCTGAAAGCAAGAATTAGGGGCTGCTGGGGCAACACGGGGGGAGGTGACCCTCCTGCAGTCTAGGGTTTCCACACTGCAGGCACTGAGAGGTGGGCCAGTGAAACATGACAGAGGCACGGGATTTGAAATGAATTACACGGATACTATAAGAGAAAAGAGGCCTCATGGGTGAAGTCTAGGTTTATGACACTCAAAGAGCTGGGCAGGAGCCAACTTATGTAAGGGAGGAGATCAATTATTCCTGACTTGGCTACGTTATGTTTGAGATGCTTGTTAGTCCAAAATAAGAAGTTGAATGAGAGTTGTTGGATATATTATTTACCTGGACTTTGAAACTATAGGATATTCAGGGCAAGTCGAGTTGTATTTAGAAAAGGGGTATTTCTTTTCCTTCTACTACTAAGATTTTTTTTTTGTCTCTTAAAAATTTTACTGAATGTATTGCAGTGACATTGGTTAATAAAATTACATAACTTGGGTGTAAAATTTCTATAATACATCCTCTGCATAGTGTATTGTGCTCACTACCCAAAGTCAAGTCTCCGTCCATCACCATCTATTTGATTCCCTGTACCCTCCCCTACCTCCCCCACGGCCTTCCCCTCTGGTAATCACCATACTGCTATCTGTGTCTATGAGTTGTGGTTTTTGGGTTTTTGTGCTCACACAGCTCCGACATGGACATAGTCCCCAAAATGCACTACTTTTACACTGCCTAGCCTATATTTCTGAGGCTTTATCTCTGACATAGCAAATATTAATTCCTCATTTTACACTCAACTATCAAACGTTAAGCATTTTACAGTCCTGCCTACAGTCTTGAATGGCCACTGCTAGCATATGAAAGACTAACTGAAGATCAGTAAGTCCAATAAAGCCTAAAGTGTATAGCTAGAGAGAACAGAAAGGGACATTTAAGAGAAAGATAGGAAAAAGAGAGAAGGCGCCTGCAGAGGGAGGTGAGGAATTTTGAAGCTATGGCCACCTGTGCTCCATCAGGGCCACTGTGGGGCTGTTTCAAATATAACTTCTGGTTAAGCTGTTTGCTTGTTTGGTATTGCAAATGGCCTCAGCGCAGAACAATTGGGAAAGGTGACTCTAACCAGTGGACGTGTGAAATCCATTTTTTAATAAATGTTAGTAATTGCTGAAATATAACGGACGTCGGATACATTTATCAGCCACCTATCATCTTTTAGGTCTAATTAAAACCTAAAGTCAAATATAATTGTTAAGATCGAATTGATTATGCTTCATACATATTGCTACTGCTTGTATTATCACGGAAAATCGAGACTTAACATACAGCCCAGCTGGCGGGGCTCAGCGGTTGAGCATCGACCTAGGATCTGGGAGATCGGGGTTCGATTCCCCGTCAGGGCACAGGCCCAGGTTGCAGGCTCGATCCCCAGCAGGGGGCGTGCGGGAGGCAGCCGGTCAGTGACTCTCATCATTGATGTTTCTCTCTCCCTCTCCCTCTCCCTTCCTCTCTCTGAAATCAATAAAGATTTTTTTTTTTTTTTAAAAAAGACTTAACATATAAATATTTTCCCCACCCTGGGCACCTTCTGAATTTTGAAACTTTCAGATATAAAATCAAGAAGAGCCCTGGCCGGTTTGCTCAGTGGTTAGAGCATCAGCGTGCGCACAGAAAGGCCTCGGGTGCGATTCGGACCAAGGGCATGTACCTCAGTTGCAGGCTCGATCCCCAGTCCCAGTCAGGGTGCGTGCGGGAGGCGACCAATCGATGTTTTTCTCTCTCCCCCTCTCCCCCTCCCTACCACTCTCTCTAAAAAAATATTAATGGAAAAAATATCCTCTGGTGAGGGTTAACAAAACCAAAGAAGGAGAAGTAATGGTCTGTGGGAAAAAATGTATCCTGTTATTTTACTAGAAGTTATTTTTAAATTTTGATACTGGTTTACATATCCTTACTTTATTTCACCAAACATTATATTATTCTATTTTATACATATTGTTGATAGCCTATTATGTGTAATTACGTAATGACGTTTTAAGTCGGTTTTGTGGAGATTTTTGATCCTGTGTCTATTTAACTATAAAGTGTTGATAACTTACCTTTACCAGGTTGTAAAAAATTTTAATCCTGCATATAGAGTGTATCAATATTTGGGGGAAATTAGAATGGAGAAATTAGCAGTCAGGTAATTTGAAACAAAGGACTTCTCCCTGAATGATCCATTAAATCAAGGCAAAAATATTTTACTTGAATTTTCATTAGAATTGTCTTAATCTTTCAATTCTTTTTGCAACCACAGACACAGGCTTTCTTTTAGTGTAAGCTTGCGTGATTTATGGCATGTTATGCTCACAATATCTAATATGAGGAATAGGCAGAAAGTGCAGCCAACTGGAATTGTACTTCAAATGTAATATAGTTTAAATATATCTTATATTACTTCTTCCAATTTCTCAGAATATTCAGCTGCTACTAAATCCTAGGATACTGGATTTCATAGGAAAGAATGTATTCATGGATTTTTCTAACATGTAAAAAGAAGTCACAATAATATGAAGTATTTTCCCCCTTGGTTCCTAAGAAGTATTAACAAAATCATACGCTTACAGAGTTATGTTCATTGTCCTAGACCTATTTTCAAATATACCCCATATTAAATGGAATCAACAATATCACATAAGAAAGTTCCCCCCCAAAGTCTCATCTGTGCATCGAAACACATGAAATCGCCTTTACATAGGCCAATAGTGGTTGACTACCTGGTGGTTTCATATGATTCAACCTAACGTAATTATAGCGCCTTATTTTCCAGGCTCTGACATCCTGGTTCTGTGAGGAGCAGTCTCTTAGCCTAATTACAGAGTGGTGACCATTCCTCTTCACTTTACAATGTCTCACAATAGAATCAAAACATGTCTGTGTGAGAAAATCCCTACGATTTACATACCCTATTACAAATAAAGAGCTAAGAAGACCAACTTTCCGATCATCAATCGCCTTTTTAAAGAGAGAATCACAAATTTCCCAGCCAGCGGTTTGAAAGAAGAGCAGTGGTTTCTTTTTCTTTGGTTTGAGATATCTCAGTCGTCCTAATATTTAACACTTTTTCAATCTGCTATCAATTGGCAACCATCTTACTAGGCATCCATTTCTTCTAAGAAACCCTTTGACCCATTAAGTAGATAAGCCAGGCATGAGCACTAAACTACCTTTCTTTAAGTCACTGATATAAGGGCTTATGCAAGGTGATGTAAGAAGATGATTCACAAAAGGTTTATTATTTACCATGTATACATTAAGAAAGTAAAAGCAGCATGAGATGATCTCAGGAAAGCAATTTTTTGATTAGACACTGAAATAAAGTAAATGTATGATAGATTGACAAATTCACATTGCCAATGTTATGAAAACTGATGCAGCAAAAAGATGTCATTTTCAATTTTGATAGTAAGGGGGCTGCTTCCGATGATCTGTTAATTTATTATATTTTTCATCTGAAAAACTAACCGCTAGTGTTACAGAAGCCCAAGGCGAGGGGGGGAAGCTACCCGCTCTCAGGAGGGCATATTAGAAATTCGCAATTGCACCCCGACTTTGTCACGGGTTTTTGCTGTTGCTCTGTTAGTAGGCCTCTGTTATTAGAATAGCAGTTGCAAACACATACGTGGGTTTGCCAGTAACAACTCACAATTTGTGCAAAGTTGAGTCTTCGAAACTGAGCAAATTTGCTCTCAATTTCCCTCCAGCGATTGCTGAGCTGGATCTGGGTTGGCTCCACTGCCACTGCGGCCCCATCGGCAGCCAAGCCCTCCGCTTGCCTGCGCACTGCGTTCAGCTCCTGCTTCTTCGTCTGCAACTCGCGGTCAATCTCCTAGTGAGCAAAACCAATACAGGGCCCAGGGCAGTTAGCTAACCGCAGCGACCGGCCCGCAAGCAGCACACACTCCCCGCTTCCACAGGCCGTGGGCACTTCAGGGCCACTCCTCCGAATCTACGCATACGGAAGCCCTCACGGTCATCCTCACCCAAGGATCCGAACATTCGCTCGGCTGTCGCTTTAGATATTCGAATTAAGAAAATATTTAAGTTGCTCTAACTTGTTTTTTTGTTTCCTTCCCTTCTCAATTCCTCTGCTGTTTTGGGGGTTGACCCAAATTGGAGTGATTATTTATTATTAGGGACCATCCATGTAGAATATAATTTAGAGGGGAAGTGAATCAATTTTTATTTCTTTTTTATAACGTTTTGGGGAACTCAACAGCGAATGAAGCAAAGTAAAATGTAAAATAACAACAGAAAACAACATCTTCAGACAATATGCAAATAAATCTATAGAGATTGGACAATGATGTGTGAAGATGCTCTGGTGAAATGAATGTGCTAACATGAGAAGGAAGTCGTCCATATACCGATAAGTCATTTGCTCATCTGGAACAGAGATGCACAAAGTCAATTACAACTGCACCAGGAAACACATGACATTTCTTAATTCATTTTTACATTGTCTAAAAATAAAATAGTTTATTCATTCAACATTACGTCAGTTGAAAAACACTTAATACATTTACTAAAACGAAATACGATACAAAGAAATACATCAAATCAGAGAGAACACTAATAAACACCACATCAACGTTTTAAATATGATCCACACAGTTTAAGTTAAACAAAGAAAATGGTAGCAATAAAATCTAGGATTGACATTCTAAAACAACATTACCTTTATTTTCCTTTCATCTCTTGGTTCAGGTAGACTGGCTAATTTTTTTTCAATGTCATCCAAGCATTTCAGGAGATCATCAGCCTGCCTCTTGTACTGATACCACTGATGAGAAATTTCTAGAGCCTTTTTTCTTCTTTGAGACCTCAAATCCTGTTCATGGTGCAGATATTATTAAAATATCAATATATATATATAAAGAGAGAGAGTACACTTCTGGCTGTAGTTATTTAAAAATAATTTGAGCCCCTCGCCTTTTTGTACAACTTTGCTTAAATTTCCTTTAAAATGCTAAACATACAAATAGGTGATCAAATTATGAATTTATGTGGCAGGACCCATGAAGCTAAGACACCTGAACAACCAACTTAAAATATTTTCTCTTGGCATGTTTAAACTTGATTAGAAATCCTGTTATGTTTAGTTGACTTAACGAGTCAATTAAATTGTCATGTAAACTATTTGAAAAAGTTTAATATGAACACCACCGAAGTAACTAGATACTTGTACAAACTTAAATTGGTATTTGACTTTTAAAACAGGTTAAAATTTTCTGAAATTTGTATCTTACACCCTGACTCCATACACAGAATTTTTAATTTTATTTAGCTAAGTGACTGCTTTCATGGTTTTCAAAAATCCCTGTAAAAAGTTTCATGGGCCATTAATATTTTATGATTAGAAATATAAAATCATCTCACTAATCAGATAAATTACTTCAAGCTATATATGCAGAAGTGTGAGAACGGTATTGCTGTGACTGTACATGAAAATGACAATGTCAATGTTATAAAAACGCTTTCTCTTTCGAGGCTTGCATGGCCGACTTCTTACTACATCAAACCATGCTCCAAATGCAAAATAATGCTTTCTTTTAAAAAGCAAAGAGAGAGTGCATGGTTTTCAATCGACCTGATGAGATAAAAAAGGGTGACTGATTTGATCAATCAACAATAGGGGGATCAGTCATCCTGCCCTGTGTCTTCCCCATCAATGGGATTTGCTGAAATGCCATTTTACGGCAACACGGGAATGTGAGGGCTCAGAATACAGCCTTCACTTCAGAGCATAGCAATTTGGGTTTCACGTACAGATTTAACTGGAGCAAAAGAAAATGACGAGTATCCAAGAACTGCTGAAATAGTCATTGTGTGGGGAAGGGTTTACCTTCTTTGAAATATTTATAAGGACCACAAGGAGAGCCACGGGGCGGGTTAACACAGTCACTGCACTGGGTGGTGCAGACCGGTTTGACAGGTGGAGATTTTCATTCAGTGCTTCTAGCACATATTTGCCACAATCGCCTAGATGTTGGTCCACCATTTTGTCTAAAACCGGGGATGCAAAATTTACTGCAGTTTACAGTTTTGGTTGAATTTCTAAACCTGTTGTGGAGGTTGGAAATGCCTGGGACGAGACAGATGGCATGCTGCTTTTTTCAAAGGTACCAAGATACAACCATATCTTTGCCAAGAGAAAGGGCGTGTGCTCATGAGATCTGAAACGCCTTTGATTTCCTCAGCGCAAGGTGATCTGCACTGTGTAAAGATATTTAGAGACATCATATAGATTTCTTTCCAGGTATGCCAGATAAACATTAAACACTGCTGCTCCGCAGCACACGTCTCGTCGTATGACCAGTGTAGACGCTTCGGAAAGCTTGGTCACAGTTGGAAGCGTGTGCGTTACACAGATTTCTGATTTTCTGAGCACACTGTGGCTTGCCCTTGCATTCCCTGGAGAAACAGACCCTTTATATTTACTATATTTATCAGCAGTTACCTGCAGAACACCTGCCAGCCAATTAGACTCTCCTCGTGGATTACTCGCAGGCACAATATTGTGTAATTACTTTCTCAGCAGTGTTTATTTGGTTGTCTGGCTATATGGGAAAAGGTTTATACTCTTATTTGCATATAGAAAGCAGACTCCATCCACTTACTAGCTTGATCCACCTACACGGCTCACAGCTCTAAGAGAGTGATTTACAATGAGAAGTTCAGCTATTAACAGTGTTAGGGAATCAGCCATGCATGCAAATAGTGAACATTGCGAAGCACATAAAAAAGGGGTTATTACACAGAACTCTTCACATGTCCAGTTTCAGCTCAAGAACTTCCCAGATGTTACCATAGAAAAACCAATTCTCTATTCTGTCCCTGCACAAATCCCCCTGAATCCCAAGGGTACTTGAAGCAACACATTATCACTGGTTAGTAGGAGAGCACCAGTTCTTCAAGGAATTAAAATTATTTTTGAGGATTCCTACATAAATAAAATTAGACTCTTGCAGATGCTTAGTTAGCTGCAAAGAGTGACACTCGTGAAGGGAAAACGAAATTTACTGAAAAAAATCACGTAGAATCCCAGGCCTTACTAAACAAATATTAGGTTACCAAAAAAATTGGACCTACTCTAAATAAAATCACTGAAATCCAGGCATCAGAAAGACCAAAAATATAGATTGGTTATTTTGGCAGTTAAGCAGGGTTTTCAAGAGAAATGTAAAAATAACTCACAAAAATAAACTATAGTAGAAAATGAAATGTATAAATGCTATGCATGGTGCATTTTCATAGCTTTTCTACTCAGCCAAAACCGTCTAAGCAAAAAAAACTCAAAAATTTTAAGCAACACATCTTTCAAAACCAAAGACACCACTCAAAAATGTTAAATAAAGCACACACATTGAACAGGAAAAAAAAGTATTTCTGGTAAGATTCTGCATGAGACTTTATTTATGCACAATATATTTTACCCTACATATGAAAAGAAACCACAGGCAAGGTATATTATAATTTTAGCTCTAATACCTTGAGAGCATTATGTTTTGTCTGTAACAGCTGCTGTTTTATCTTTATTTCCTCTCGCTTTCTCTCATCTGTGATTCTTTGTTGTAAGTTGTCTCCTCTTTGCAACAATTCTTTTACAGTACCCTCATTGTCTTCACTCTGATTAGAAACAACAAGTACAGTCTTCATTTGGGTTTTTAAAAAGCTGTACATCGTTAACAGAGATAATAAAACATGTTATTTAAACACACACAAAAATCCAATTTGAAACTCTCAGGGAATGTTATTGTAAGATACTGTGCTCATAGCTTTTCTTTTATATGTTGTACTTTAACTTTTAAAAGAAGTAAGCTCCCTCCGGTCTAGTTCAAAAGGGCCCCCTTGAGAAGGGGCATATGCAGGCATTTGGGGGAGTGAGGTACTTTATCGCTTCAGACAAGCCCTGAATTGGGGCGAAAGCATTCTTTTGGCTTTTAATTTCAGTATATTTTTAGAAATATAAAAAGTTTGGAGAAGTAAACTAAACTTGTCCTTTATAATGTTAACTAATCCATATAGGAATATGCACGTGCATGTGTGAGTGTGAGATGGCAACAAATCTTACAGTTTTAACACACTCACTTTTAAGTGAAAATATTTTGTTTAAATGTATACTAATTTCTAATAATCTCTGCTTTAAATAACCTAAATGCCCAAATTTATGCCAAATATTATTAGGGCATTAGTAAAAAATGATGTGTTAAATTGCTGTCAAATGTTGCAAATCATTTCTAAAAATATGTTATGTGTGCATGTTATTTTTAAAGAAATACAATCAAATAAGTGTTAAAATATGGATCAGAAAATGGCTTTAAACATTTTTGATATGCATTTTGCATTTTAGACTCCAAGAAATATTTTTACTTTATGTACTTTAAATTGAAATTATTTCTGTAAGTGCTGGCCTACTATACTAGCATATGTGACCATGTAATTTTTCAAGTCTAGTTTCTTATCTTTCTTTTAACTCAATATATGGAAACTTTCTATCAAGGAGGTTTACCCTGCAATGGTATCCAAGGTAACCTGATGAGCTAAGAATTACAAATATTAGACGATTTCTTAAGTGTCACATGTATGTGTGTGTGTATCAGATGTCACTATTCACGGTATCAGATGTCCCATTTTCAAATCTAAGTGCATATTTAAACTTCCACACCCAACCCAGGCACTGTTCTTCTTTCAAAATAAATGGGATTTTTATCTGAGATTTGGCAGTTACTGGTACATTGAAATAATGTAACACAGACATACAGGGTGGGGCAAAAGTAGGTCTACAGTTGTGAGTACACAACACACAGGGTTTATTTCTGTATTATTATTTATTCTTGTATTGTTTTCCATATGAACTATAAACCTACTTCTGCCCACCCCTGTATATTTACAGCATGTAAAAGACCTTACTCATTTTAATATGTCTTCAAAAAGTCTACAGCATTTCCTAGGGCTGTGGACAAAACCAACAAGACAAAAGCCCACTTCGCTTCTTCCCCTGCACCTGGCGAGGGCCACCGGGCAGAGGCGGCGACAACCCGAGGATGGCAGCCCTCCTGCCCGCTCTGGGCCCCTGGTTTCTTCTCTGCCACGGGGGAGAGAGCTGAAGCCCAGCATCTTGGGAAGCCTCTGCTCGAACGGCCAAGGCCACAGCCCCTCAAGCTCACTGATTCAGGCAGCTCCCGGGAGTCAGAACTGACCCGAGTGGGAACTGAAATTGGTAGGGCCCGGCTGGTGTGGCTCAGGGGTTGAGCCTTGACCTAGGACCCAGGCGATCGGGGTTGGATTCCCGGTCAGGGCACAGGCCCGGGTTTCGGGCTTGATCCCCAGCAGGGGGCGTGCGGGAGGCAGCCGGTCAATGACTCTCATCATTGATGTTTCTATCTCTCCCTTCCTCTCTCTGAAATCAATAAAGATAGATTTAAAAAAAAGAAAGAAAAAAAATTGGTGAGAAGAGTTCTCCCAGTGCTTCACATGCCTACTGCCTAGAATTTCTATACCGCCTTTGGATGTCATTTCCAAGCACTAAGTCTCTAGCATCAATGCCTGTCACAAATCTCTAGCATAATATGTGTAAATGCTAAGAATGTCATACAGGTGATAGCTGTGAAAGAAGGGAAAGGAAACGGTGAAAAGAGGGTGGGGGGGGAGAAAAGTCAGTGAAAAGGGATGTGACACAGAAATACTCAAGTCAGAGAATAGAAAAGTCATTTTGAAATTAATCGGGGTTGAATAAGGGTGTTACCAGCTTGGGAAGAGCCCGCATGGTTACGCTTTTTTACTCCCATGAAATAAGCAGCATAAACTTGTGTGTATTTTAGACATACGCTGTGCTATTTATTCACCTTTTTGGTGAAGCCACTCGTGGTAAGCTTTAATAAACAAATGTTTATATTGTATGTAATTGCCCCTTCTCTGAAATAAATGTTCTATTTCCAAAAACATGACTGACACAAAATACCAGCCATCAATGATAGTTGTTTCTTGTTAAATTTCCAGATTGTTTTCTGATTTGACTCTTCTTTCCCCATTCCATTTTCCCCCCCTGAGTTTGAAAAGAGTACAGGTCAAAGCGGAATTGCTGAGCTATTTCTTAGAACCTGTTGGTGCTCCTACATGGCCAGCCTACAGTACTTTGGCATTCACAATAAAAGCTCAACAAGAATACTTTGTGTGTGTGATACATCATTGGAATCCCAAAATATGCAAGGTATGGCCTGATGATGTCGTTGGCAGCTCGAGTTATGTGATTTCTTTCCAAATATTTATTCATTTTCACTCCTAGTTCATTCACACTTTTATCACAACCAATTTACCATATCTTTATTGAAGTCTTCCTCTTTCAGATTCACCCCCTGCTGAATTTCAGCCTCCAGTGGTTCAAGCAATTTTTGTATATCTGAGTTAAACTGCTCCAATTCCTTCAAAGGAATGGAGGCCTAAAAAAAAAAGATAGTGCTAATTTAAATTAAAATTACTTTTTATTAGAAACATAAACCAAAAAAATACATTTGTTCAACCTCCTGTTGCTAAAATAATGACATGCATTATGTTTCCATATTACACTTTATGAAACTTTTGAAATACGCTGGGGAAAGTACCTGCGGATGCAAATAAAGACAAGCATTTAACATTATCAGAGCTGAACACACATGCAAGACAATGCAATTCATCATTTTGTTTGTTCAACAAAAGTCAATTTCCATATATTTGACTGGGCTAATTGTTAATATTCTCAAGTAGAATTTGACCCTATTTTAAATATTCTGATATAAATACCATTTGGGCAAATGTGCCGTATCAGAAATTGCCTCATTCATCAAATAACAGTAGCCTTAGGTGGAAATGCAGAATTGTCTCCTTATTCTCAGAAAAAGTACATGACAATCTGCTCAGATACTTCAAATGACATTTTTAGCATGGAGAAATTGACAGGCATGTTCTCATAAGACAAACAATGCCATTAACTTGCCTTAGAAATGCTTTCTTTGGTAGCACAACAAATTCAAATGAATGAGACCAGAATATTTCACATAAAAAGGCCTGAATTATATGTTTTCCAACCTCACAAACATCACAGGTTCTGTAATTTTAAAATTCATAAGGAGCAGAGTCTCAAACAACTTTAAAATACCTTGGTCTTCTACAGAAACCACTTGAAGAGGACTGACGAATGATAATGTATTGAAAATCAAATACATACTCAAAACAGTAGGCAATATTTAATTATCAAAGTTCAAACAGTGAATAAAATATTCTATTGATTTTTACTCTGTGCTCAATTTCTTTGCATTTAAACGCTAGAAAATATTTTATACTTGATAGCTTTTTATACTCATAGATGACATGTAGAAATGTAATTTTCTAATAGAGCTAAACATTTTCCATTTGTAAAACCAATTCAGGAACGACCCCCAGTGTCCTGTGCCAGGATGGCTGCATTCCCCAAGCTTGGTCCCACCGATTCTCCCCATCGCATGCCCAGCCACAATCTTTCTTTATTAGACAGAGGACAGTAAGGATGCGAGTTCAAGGAAGAAACAAATATTTAAAGGTACTTAGTTACTAATAAAAAAGTGAATGATCAAAAGCTTTTTACCAGGACATGATTCTCACATGTGATATGAAAAAATACTTTTCTTCTACGCATTCTACGTATGCCAGAAAGGACGCATGGGCCCTCTTTTCAAATGACTGATTTTCTGTACTTGTTTTTAAATCCTAATGATCATTTGTAATTTGAAATATCATATTAGGTTCTTGAACCAGGACAGAATAGTATTTTAAACATGCTTAAAGGGTGTTTCAACGTCCCTTTAATTGATGTGCTTCTAAATTTAAAAATCCTATCGTGTTCAAAGTATTATAAAAGTAAAAAGATTAACAGCTTTCAGAATAATAACTACACGAAAATAATGTAGTGGTATTTTACGTTACTGAATTGATACTCACATTTGCTAATATTTAATAAGAGCAACCACAGTGTTCTATATTCTGTACAGTTTTGTGCTTTTTGATGACAATGTTTAAAGTAACTTTTATTGGCTACTTGGATGTCAAAACAACATGGATCCAGTTGCTTGTTTTTTGTTTTACTCGTACACCCGCTTCCCCTCTTAGCTCCTCTCTCCACATACTCAAATACAGCAGCTTCGAAGGCTCAGGGCTTGGGCTTCTGTGCCTCTTTCTCAATTCTCCTTCCCTAATAAATCGTATCATCTTCTAAACTTTAACCATAACTTTCATAATATCTCCCAAATATTCATATTTAACGGTGACCTCACTTTTGAATTCCAGTCTAAATTCTCCAATAGCCAGCTGATTTCTCACTTGAAATTCAACGTATCTAGAAATGAGCTCATTACCATTGTGCCAAACTGCTTGCAACACCAACTTCCCACGCCGTGTTAATAGGTGACCATTTTTCTCAGTCACTCAGGCTTAAAACGTGTGTTGTGTCATTTTTCAACACTTTACCCTAATGTCCAATGAATACCTAGTAACTGCCNCCCAGGCGATCGGGGTTGGATTCCCGGTCAGGGCACAGGCCCGGGTTTCGGGCTTGATCCCCAGCAGGGGGCGTGCGGGAGGCAGCCGGTCAATGACTCTCATCATTGATGTTTCTATCTCTCCCTTCCTCTCTCTGAAATCAATAAAGATAGATTTAAAAAAAAGAAAGAAAAAAAATTGGTGAGAAGAGTTCTCCCAGTGCTTCACATGCCTACTGCCTAGAATTTCTATACCGCCTTTGGATGTCATTTCCAAGCACTAAGTCTCTAGCATCAATGCCTGTCACAAATCTCTAGCATAATATGTGTAAATGCTAAGAATGTCATACAGGTGATAGCTGTGAAAGAAGGGAAAGGAAACGGTGAAAAGAGGGTGGGGGGGGAGAAAAGTCAGTGAAAAGGGATGTGACACAGAAATACTCAAGTCAGAGAATAGAAAAGTCATTTTGAAATTAATCGGGGTTGAATAAGGGTGTTACCAGCTTGGGAAGAGCCCGCATGGTTACGCTTTTTTACTCCCATGAAATAAGCAGCATAAACTTGTGTGTATTTTAGACATACGCTGTGCTATTTATTCACCTTTTTGGTGAAGCCACTCGTGGTAAGCTTTAATAAACAAATGTTTATATTGTATGTAATTGCCCCTTCTCTGAAATAAATGTTCTATTTCCAAAAACATGACTGACACAAAATACCAGCCATCAATGATAGTTGTTTCTTGTTAAATTTCCAGATTGTTTTCTGATTTGACTCTTCTTTCCCCATTCCATTTTCCCCCCCTGAGTTTGAAAAGAGTACAGGTCAAAGCGGAATTGCTGAGCTATTTCTTAGAACCTGTTGGTGCTCCTACATGGCCAGCCTACAGTACTTTGGCATTCACAATAAAAGCTCAACAAGAATACTTTGTGTGTGTGATACATCATTGGAATCCCAAAATATGCAAGGTATGGCCTGATGATGTCGTTGGCAGCTCGAGTTATGTGATTTCTTTCCAAATATTTATTCATTTTCACTCCTAGTTCATTCACACTTTTATCACAACCAATTTACCATATCTTTATTGAAGTCTTCCTCTTTCAGATTCACCCCCTGCTGAATTTCAGCCTCCAGTGGTTCAAGCAATTTTTGTATATCTGAGTTAAACTGCTCCAATTCCTTCAAAGGAATGGAGGCCTAAAAAAAAAAGATAGTGCTAATTTAAATTAAAATTACTTTTTATTAGAAACATAAACCAAAAAAATACATTTGTTCAACCTCCTGTTGCTAAAATAATGACATGCATTATGTTTCCATATTACACTTTATGAAACTTTTGAAATACGCTGGGGAAAGTACCTGCGGATGCAAATAAAGACAAGCATTTAACATTATCAGAGCTGAACACACATGCAAGACAATGCAATTCATCATTTTGTTTGTTCAACAAAAGTCAATTTCCATATATTTGACTGGGCTAATTGTTAATATTCTCAAGTAGAATTTGACCCTATTTTAAATATTCTGATATAAATACCATTTGGGCAAATGTGCCGTATCAGAAATTGCCTCATTCATCAAATAACAGTAGCCTTAGGTGGAAATGCAGAATTGTCTCCTTATTCTCAGAAAAAGTACATGACAATCTGCTCAGATACTTCAAATGACATTTTTAGCATGGAGAAATTGACAGGCATGTTCTCATAAGACAAACAATGCCATTAACTTGCCTTAGAAATGCTTTCTTTGGTAGCACAACAAATTCAAATGAATGAGACCAGAATATTTCACATAAAAAGGCCTGAATTATATGTTTTCCAACCTCACAAACATCACAGGTTCTGTAATTTTAAAATTCATAAGGAGCAGAGTCTCAAACAACTTTAAAATACCTTGGTCTTCTACAGAAACCACTTGAAGAGGACTGACGAATGATAATGTATTGAAAATCAAATACATACTCAAAACAGTAGGCAATATTTAATTATCAAAGTTCAAACAGTGAATAAAATATTCTATTGATTTTTACTCTGTGCTCAATTTCTTTGCATTTAAACGCTAGAAAATATTTTATACTTGATAGCTTTTTATACTCATAGATGACATGTAGAAATGTAATTTTCTAATAGAGCTAAACATTTTCCATTTGTAAAACCAATTCAGGAACGACCCCCAGTGTCCTGTGCCAGGATGGCTGCATTCCCCAAGCTTGGTCCCACCGATTCTCCCCATCGCATGCCCAGCCACAATCTTTCTTTATTAGACAGAGGACAGTAAGGATGCGAGTTCAAGGAAGAAACAAATATTTAAAGGTACTTAGTTACTAATAAAAAAGTGAATGATCAAAAGCTTTTTACCAGGACATGATTCTCACATGTGATATGAAAAAATACTTTTCTTCTACGCATTCTACGTATGCCAGAAAGGACGCATGGGCCCTCTTTTCAAATGACTGATTTTCTGTACTTGTTTTTAAATCCTAATGATCATTTGTAATTTGAAATATCATATTAGGTTCTTGAACCAGGACAGAATAGTATTTTAAACATGCTTAAAGGGTGTTTCAACGTCCCTTTAATTGATGTGCTTCTAAATTTAAAAATCCTATCGTGTTCAAAGTATTATAAAAGTAAAAAGATTAACAGCTTTCAGAATAATAACTACACGAAAATAATGTAGTGGTATTTTACGTTACTGAATTGATACTCACATTTGCTAATATTTAATAAGAGCAACCACAGTGTTCTATATTCTGTACAGTTTTGTGCTTTTTGATGACAATGTTTAAAGTAACTTTTATTGGCTACTTGGATGTCAAAACAACATGGATCCAGTTGCTTGTTTTTTGTTTTACTCGTACACCCGCTTCCCCTCTTAGCTCCTCTCTCCACATACTCAAATACAGCAGCTTCGAAGGCTCAGGGCTTGGGCTTCTGTGCCTCTTTCTCAATTCTCCTTCCCTAATAAATCGTATCATCTTCTAAACTTTAACCATAACTTTCATAATATCTCCCAAATATTCATATTTAACGGTGACCTCACTTTTGAATTCCAGTCTAAATTCTCCAATAGCCAGCTGATTTCTCACTTGAAATTCAACGTATCTAGAAATGAGCTCATTACCATTGTGCCAAACTGCTTGCAACACCAACTTCCCACGCCGTGTTAATAGGTGACCATTTTTCTCAGTCACTCAGGCTTAAAACGTGTGTTGTGTCATTTTTCAACACTTTACCCTAATGTCCAATGAATACCTAGTAACTGCCAGTTCGTTCACCATGGTCCACTTGCTTCCTGTTCCCAGAGATACCATTCCTGCCCTCCTCACCCAGGAGCTACGACAATGACATCCTTACAGGGGCACAGTCTCCTTCCCACCTCACCACGTCCACCCTGGGCACCGGGATCAGGTTAGTACACTCCCCAAACATGACTTCCATTCCGTTATCTCTCTGCTCAAATACACAAGTGGGACAGAGTCCAAAATCCAGCACGACAGTCAAGCCTTCCCCTAGTCTTGCCCCAAGGACCTTTCTAGACTTCGATGAGGACTCCTAGGGCTGGCCTTCCTTGCAAGTCCATTGGTGAGCTCCCGTTATCCCTCCCTCAATGTCCTCAGAATGCTCCTCGTGTCCTGGCGAAGAGCCTAAGCTCCTAAATGACAACGCCCGGATTGAATCTGAGTCCCACCAGCTGAGGGAACCAGGACAAGTGATTTGTTCTCCTTGAGCCTCAGGTTGCTTATCTGTAACACAGTAAGAGCATCCACCTCATAGGCTTGTTATGAGGATCGGCTATGTTAGAATGCTGTCTGATATATCGTAAATGCTCAATAAGTGCTGGTTATTATTTCCTCTCAAACTTTATGCATCCATCTGACATATAATAAATGCTCAATAATTACTGGCTCTTCCTGTTTCCTGTCAAAATCAGACCCCTCCGTTGCCTCAGTTCAAGACTTCCTTTTTCGAAAACATACTGCTTATAAAGGACAAAATAAATGCATGTTGACATGGTGTTTTTATTTTAGCAAGGCATTCGGCAAGCTCATGAAATTCTAATGGTGAACGTGGAGAAATGAACACTCCAGTTCGGGAAAGTTGTGTCATTCCGAACAACAAAAACTGCTGATTAAGTAGCCTCATCAATGGAGAGGGCGGGCTCAAAGAGGACGCCACGGGACTGTGCACTGCGCAGTATTTTCAACAGGCATTATTTGGAGAAACGAAAAGCATGCAAAAACCACCACGACAAAGTAAGAGGAATGAGTTCCATGAACACCCCGTGAAGATGAGGAGTCTGTCTGTTTTGTTCAACCTAGAGCCATTCCTGGTGCGTACTATGCACGCATGAGTGAATATTTTTAAGTGTAGATGGCATGTGATACTATATAATTATATCATTTTCAGGTGTACAATACAGTGATTTTCTGAAAAACTAAAGTGAATAAAAATAAGCATTCCAAGGAGCTCTTGAATGATCTAGAATTTGAAGTAACATAATTCCCACTGTATAAAACTGAAAAGACCTGAATGTTAAGCACTTCACGTGTGGATGTATATTAATTTCTGGCCAAATGCTAGGAACAACATGATACCAGCTGGTACAAAAATAATATAAGCAAATAGAAAGAGACTTTGGGAAACACTACCACAAAATGAGTAACTAATTATTCAAGCAAGATCGTGTAAACTTAGATTTCATTAGGAGTATGCTTAGAGTCCAGATTCCCTGATCAAAGCCTACTGTGCATTTGTTAAAAAGGTCACTATGCAGATTGGGGATCTGAATTAATCTCTGTGGTTCCAAAGTGAGCAACCAGAATCAATGAATAGAAATTAATTGGAGCCTGAAATTTTGTTTACTATAGGAACAATTGATTAATGTTGCAAATGTGGTTTTTTTCCTTTTTAAAAGCACTATTTTTAAAGTAATGAGTTTTTCAATGCTGAAAGTATACAATTAGAGGCAGAATGATGATGTATCAGCGTCCGTGTTAGAAACGAGGCACTTTTCACATAAATACTTCCCTGAAATTTAATCAACTTATAGGAAATTCTTTCCTCTGAATTCAAAGAATTTTGTTTATCTATAGCAGTGCAGCTAAACAGAAATATAATGTGAGCCATATATGTAATTTTAAATGTTCTATTTTCTATATTACAGATTAAAAATATGGAATTAGTTATATTTTACCTAACCAATACATCCAAAATATTATCAAATAAACATATAACCAATATAAATTAATAAAATATTTTGCATTTACTTTTTCATATTAATATTTCAAAGTCCACTATGTGTTTTATACTTACAGTACATCTTAATTTGAGTAGCCACAATTCAAACACTCAATGGCCATATGTGGTTTGTGGCTACCTTATTAGACAGTACATATTGACAGTAACTATCATAACCACGACACTGAAAAGTGCCAACAGCTCATTATGAGTATGAAATATGTCACAGGAGTAATGTCTTACTAATAATAGTCAAAACACTAATGTTGTATTTAGTAAATTCTAGTGGATTTAGATAATTTGTATAATGTCCATCTCATTCACTTGCATTCTGATTTGTTTTCTGAGAGGAATTTTCAGGAAGCCATCTGGAAATAGAAAAGCTTATGGGAATGGGTTTGACATGTCACATCAGGAGTCTATTTCTCACTTACGTTCAATCCTAGGTTGTGCTGCAGTATCTTACATATTTGAAGATAATGTCATTTGGCTTTCAAGGATTTATGCTTTGAATCACCAGTAGATTTTATAATCCTTGAAGCGGGGAATATATCTTACACTACTCTGTATTTTTCATAACAAATATAATTATTTTCTTTTGTACAGAAAAGGAGCTTATTATACAAATTATGAGTTTTAGACCATCCAATATATTAACTAAATTAACCAGTGACCAATTTTATAACCAAAATAACCATAACTACTCAATCCAATTATTTTGGCTATGCTACTGGCCTCTCAGATCAGCCATTTGACATCTGTGTGATTAATATTCTTTGTTCAAACACAAGGAGTTGGCAAAATTCATGCCTTTCTTAAGAGTCACTGGTTCACCATGAGGTCATGACAATTCTAATATGAAAGGCAGATTAACTGAAGAACTTATATGCAAACATGCATAACCCATGGACATAGACAATAGTGTGGTGAAGGCCTGAGGTGGGATGAGGGGGGTGC